ATGATGAATGGATGGATGGATGGATGGATGGATGGATGGATGGATGGATGGATGGATGGACGGACGGACGGACAGACCTGCCATCTTTTCTTCATTCAACCTGTACTGTATAAATAAAGGTTGAATGAATGGATGGGTGGTTTTAAAGAGTGGGATGTAGTGACACCTAGTGTTGAATGGGAAAATTGCATGCACAATGACAAAACATCACCTAAAGTTCCTCTTTTTCTCACTAAATACACGAGTAATTCAAAAGGTTCTTTCTAGAAACAGTGTGGACACTTTGAGTCTGTTAGTCTATAAAATAACACTCTAACAGTGAAAACAGTGAACATAATATTAGATATTTATGTTTTACTTCACGGTGAATTTGTAACTAAATTAAAGTCAGAACCGATCAGAAGAGTCCAAGTTAGTATTGAGATAGATACTCTTGGATTTCCTTTAGATGAAGGACGAAACGTCTCAACAAAAAAAGAAGAAACCGTCCAGATGGCCTGACTGAACATTGTTGGATTTTAACCTGGATTATTGAGCATGAACTTTGATGATATGAGATGGATAGCTTCATTTTCAAACTAATTCTAACTGAATAAAGACAGTCGCATTCAAACTCAGAAATGAAACATGACGTGTGTCTTTTCAGTGGAGAAAGAGTCCCTCTGAGCTCTGTGCCATTTAACCAGCAGCTCTTTGATGAGGGACGGTGGTCCATTATTGGACCTCATTGTGTGGACTGGGTATTGTTCCAACGGGTGCTCTTTGAATTGTTTCTGGGAGGCCGGGGGTTCAGTGGTGGGTTGGCTTGTATTGTGTGTGTGTGTATGTGTGCTGACATGGACCTTCTGTGAACACATTCAGTTGGGCGACAAGGACAGAGAGAGGACAGCAAAAGGTAATAAACTGCTGTAAAGAGACAAAGAAGACATACACCTGTGAGGACGTACAGAGACAGTTGGACCAACTGAAATGGAAACAAAGAGACAAACCTGGGATTATCAGTGAAGGATTATCAGAAGTGGACTTTCTCAGACATGGACTAGTCCCATAAGGACACACACTCACTCACATTTTGGTTTCCTGTGGTGAAGAGGAGACGGCGTCAGCATGCAGGACTCTCCAGGAGCCGTGGGCGTTGATGGCAGCTACACCAGCAATGTTCCCGCTTTCCTCACCAAGCTGTGGACGCTGGTGGAGGACCCAGATACCAACCACCTCATCTGCTGGAGTGCAGTGAGTCCGACTTCCAAACGCACCGCTCATCAGACTGATTGTATTAGTAGTAGTAGTATTTTTAGGAACGTACACTCTGAAAACTGCTGGGTTAAAAACAACCAAACTGTAACCCAGGTCTGGGTTATATTTGAAATGAACCAACCCTCAGTAGCTTTACCTCACAAAAGTTGGATTATCAGTTTGATTCAGCACACAGGGTGTAGTTTTTTTTTACATAAAAACTGGGTACAATTACATATTTGTTCAACTGGAGCTACTAAAACTCAAACTTTGCCTTATCAATGGGTTTTGTGCTAACTATTATTAGCATCAGCTAGCTAGCACTAATTCATCTCACTTTAGGAACTCAAACTCACAAAAACCAGCCAGGTTCAATATCTTCTTACAAGTTGTTTTATTGTTTTACATTTACTTATCACTTCTTTAATCAGAGATCCAGTCAGGTATGAACTTCTGGTTTAAAATGATGACCTGTGAAAAACTGACATGACTCATCTCTGATTCAACTATTTGACCCAACATCTGGTCAAACCAGCACCCTCCATGTTCCAAAAGCTTCATCCCAACAGCTGGTTTATCAAAACAATCCAAGAGTTTTAGTGTGGACCATGGTGTTGGTTTATAAACGCTACCAACACAAAAAGTTAGGTGGTGATGATGATAAAAGATTTCTGGTTTCTGTTTATGAGCCGTGTTGCTTCAGTTGCAGCAGCCAGAACTGGGTCCTGGTTTACAAGACTTAAAAAACTTGAGCCACTTTGGACCAAGCAAGAAAAATGTCAATGTTTCATTTATTTCAGGTAAAATGAAACATAAAACCAAGAGTTTGAGGAGTCAAAATGTGCAGAAATCCCCACTTTGTCAAAAAATGAGTCAGAAAATATTTTAATTAAATATTGTTTTTCAACAAAGATTGGAAGTTGTGTTTTTTTTTCCAATTTTCATTGTCTAAAAAGAATCCTGATGTTAATCTGGTCCTGACTCCATCTGAAATGGATCTTCACACTGTAGAAACTGTGGACTTGGACAAGGTTCTGTGATGGTTCTGGATTTGGAACAGGGTTCTGTAATGAACACCTGAAACAAAAATAAGTTAACTCTGAGGTTCTTTGTCTGTCAGATAATCATGTCTGTTAAACGATCAGAACCTGTAAATCAGGTTTCAGAGCCATGGCAGAATTAAGTTAAAGATGCAGATGGACTGACTACAAATTAAGTCTAAATAGGTGGCAGGGCCTGTCTGGAACTTCTAGTAGCTGGAAAAGCAGAAATAACTTGTTTATATTTAGCTGAATGAAGCTTGTTTCAATATATTAAAGGTTATTTTGGGTCACAATTAGAGGTAATTCGCTGTAGAATTTGTCCACAATGATTAAATTACTAAAACAATAAATTAATTGTAATAAAACAGGAATTACATGAAAGAAAAGAGCATTAAGAAAATAATAAATTGTTTTGAGGACCTCCAGCATCCACCCACTTCCCATTTCTTCTGCAGGTGTCCTAAATCAGCACCTAGTGGAACGCCCATTTTGCAATTTTGGAAAGTGAGGCTCATGATGTAAAAACTTGGGCACATTTTTTTTGCTGTTTTGAAGGTTTTCATTGAGCTGACAAAGCTGCTTCAACTACTTTAACAGATATTTTATAAAGTTTTCTGCAAAGTAAAAGGCAACAAATTCTGTCATGTCCTGTTTAAACGGAGAAACTGATTTTTTTTATGTTTAAGGAAATTGACCTGTTCTTTGGATTTGATGATAAAATAGTGATTAGTTGATAATATACACAATTTTCAGAGGATACATTGTATGTTTGCGTTCAGAGACTTAATGGTCGGACTTTGTTTCTCAGACCGGGACAAGTTTTCACGTCTTCGACCAGGGACGCTTCGCCAAGGAGGTTCTGCCAAAGTACTTCAAACACAACAACATGGCGAGCTTCGTTCGACAGCTCAACATGTGTGAGTATTCCTCCTTTCCTTCATCCTTTTCCTACAACTCTTGTCCCTTTTTATTAGATTTGTTTTCCCGCTCCTGCAGACGGTTTCCGTAAAGTGGTGAACATCGAGCAAAGCGGCCTCGTGAAGCCTGAGAGAGACGATACGGAGTTCCAGCATCTTTACTTCCTGCAGGGACACGAACACATGCTGGAGCACATCAAGAGGAAGGTGAGGACGCACAAACATGTGACCTCCGTCAAACGTCAGAATCGAGCTGTCCACCAGAACAACTTGTAAAAGTTGTCACAAACATAGTTAGATAATAAAACATTTGAATTCTCTGAGGTTCCATCCAAAGTTAAACGTGTTTGAATGATTCCTCTGTGAACCAGCGGAGCATTTAAAAACTGTTTCTGCACAAAAATGTGAATTTAGTTTTCCTGTTTTAGGCTTCCTGGTTTGTTTGTTTGTTTGTACTTTGACTTTTTTTTTTTATAAATGTTTCCAAACGTAAACAGGAAAGTTGTGTTTGCAGAATCCGTCCATTTGAGAACAGGAAAAAAAGGAACCAGACATTCCTTCAGTTTATCTCGTCAGAATCAGTTTCTGAAAATAAAGATTTGTGTGTGAGTGAAAAACAAAATGACGAGTAGAGATCAATAAACTTATCAGGTTCTTCCTTCGGGGACTGGGAAAGACTGTTGGAGTAAAATATAAAAAATAGACATTAAAAAAGCAATACTCCAATGTCCACCATCGCTGTGGGGTTTGAATAGTGACTGTTTGTAGTTTGGAGATGAGTGTTTTTCTGGACTGGAATTGAACAGAGAATGAAGTAAACCTAAATGTTTTTGGTGCAAAATATTCAAGTGGGGAGGAGATACCCTGTGGAGAAGAACAGAGGAATGTTTATGTTTTTGTTGTTGTTGTTGTTGTGATGGCTCCTGAGTGGAGGGAGCATATTTACCCAGGCACAGAGGTGGAGCCAGGGGGTGGCCAATGGTGGCCTTGACCACAGTGGAGCAAGCCAAATCATTTAAGGAAACGATACTTTTAGAAAATATAAAACCTAGAAACGTGTGTGTGCATATATATATATATATATATATATATATATATATATATATATGTTGCTTATTTTTCAAGTTATCATTCTCATAGGATGGGTGGAGGGTAAGTCCAGTTCTCACAAGATTTACTCATGTGCATATTGGTGACAGCCATCTTGGATTTTTAACGTGGAAGTCTAATTTTAGAAAGGTATATTTTTTCCTCCGCCACACGTCAAAACAGAAGTTAGTGTCTCACTTATTTTTCAAGTTATCATTCTCACAAATATGCACATATTTCCAGTTCCCCCTCTTCGCTCCACAGTTGGGGGGGCAAAAAGTAAGGAGGACAACAAAAGGAAGCAGGAATGCACAGTAAATTCATGTTTTTCCTCTGAGGACTAGGAATAGACAAAAGTCCTGACATTCTTCTTCTGGGCATCAGGAATGACTTTATGACCAAATGTCTCTAACGTCAGGCTCTTCTTTGTGTCTCCAGGTGTCCATCGTGAAAAGTGAGGAGACTAAAGTCCGTCAGGAGGACCTCAGCAAGCTGCTCTATGAAGTCCAGCTCCTCAGGACACAACAGGACAACATGGAGTGTCAGATGCAGGACATGAAGCAGTGAGTTCATTGACTGTCCATGTGCAGGACACGTCCTTTACTGGGACATTCCATGTCTGTCTGTCCTGCTCAGCCTCAGGAGATTTAAAAGCTCCAGCTTTATTATTTAATGCTAGTAAATTAATTTGTTTAAAGGATCAACGACAAAAAACACTTTTGTTTGTCCAAAAGGCCGACACAAACGTCAACTGACCAAGACAAGGAACATCAGAAAAATCAGCCAAATATTTATTTTTGTCTGTTTTAATACTTATTTATTTATTTATTTGCTGTGCAATTAATAAACAGTATTTTTTGACAAAACCTAAAGATCCATCTAAAATCCTTTTTTTTAATTATTATTTTGTCAGAATGTTTTCAGATGCTCTCATATCCTCAGTAACTTTAAAACACTTTTGTGTTCCTGATTGGAAAGTCATCCACATTAAAATACATTGCGAATACAACTTTTAATCCCAAATTTATCAGATCATAAAATAATGCATTCCTCTCAGTAATGCTTTTTATTTTTACCTCTATCCCTATCCTTTACATTTATATAATAACCCACAAGGTGGCGCTCTGCTTCTCTTTCTGAGAGATGCTGTAAACGTTTAGCAAGAGATCAACTGACCCTAGAAGCAGAACCTTCCAGTCTCGTTCCACAAAATCATTTTAGTTTGGGCGTAAAGAGCAATAAGTCACTTCTAATGTGCACAAGTAAACATTTAGTACTAAAAAGATGTTTCACGTGCATGCAGGCTGCAGAATCGGACGTTACACAGTTTCGCCCAAAGCGGAACGTCAGTAGCGGATCAGTGGTATAACCGGGTCAGTGCAAATAAAAAACAAATTAGACAATGGACATGCTCATGGGTTCAGTAAAAAATAAAAATTAAATAAAATAAATAAGTAAGTAAATAAATAAAAGAAATTAAAAGTTAAAGAAATGATTTAGATAAACCTTCATGTCTGAACAGAGACGTAAGTTTGACTGAAAACAAGAACTGAAGGTGAACTGGAGGGTCTTCACCAAACTCAGGACTGAATTATTTTTTTAATTTAATATAATAAATATATATTTTTTTAAATAATAATTTTAAATACTTTTTAATTGTCCAAAGCTAATTTTGGGCATACTGATTGGGGAAAATGTTAT